TGCTGCAGTCGATGTAAATAAGTTTATATAACGCAACATACAATTTTACAAAAATTGTAAAAGTATTATTCCTGAATATTTATTTTACTTTCAACCACTCGACATGTTCAGTGGCATCAGTGCTATACATACACATATAGTTCTTATTTTTTTTCTTTGTATTTTTGCCCTCTATGGACAATAAAAGCGGCATTGTGCTATGACCAAAACATAAATATAAATCTATATAAATAAAACATGAATTGGAATATTTCATATCACACAATTTTTATGCTTTGTCTTTGATTTAAAGATGACAATACGCAAAAATCTACAAAAATTGTAGAAATTGTAACACATGGGTTACGCTGGCGTATGTTTTACCACTGTAAAACTGCGCCCAATAATACAGTGCGTTTTGTCTCTGTGTAAAATACCAAAATAGCACCCGTTAGTGAGACTGCGCCCAACAATACGGTGCGCCGAATGGTCGTGGAAATACGGTATATATATACATATATATATCCTCGTCTCACCCCTCAGGTGGTGTCCATCCCCCATACAGCTCGGGTCCTCTACCAGAGGCCAGGAAGATTGAGGGTTCTGCGCAGTATCCTTGCTGTTCCCAGCACTGCACATTTCTGGACTGAGATGTCCGATGTTGTTGCCGGGATCTGTTGCAACCACTCATCTAGTTTGGGGGTCACTGCCCCGAGTGCTCCGATCACTACGGGCACGACTGTCACCTTTACGTTCCAGGCTCTCTCCAGGTCCTCTCTGAGCCCTTGGTATTTCTCTAGTTTCTCGTGTTCCTTCTTTTTGATGTTTTCATCACTTGGGACCGCTACATTTACTACAGCAGCTTTCCTCTGCCCTTTATCTATGATCACGATATCTGGTTGGTTCGCCATTACCATCTTGCCAGTCTGTTTCTGGCTGTCCCACAGGATCTTCGCTCGGTCATTCTCCACCACCTTTGGAGGTGTTTCCCATTTTGATCTTGGGGTTTTCAGTCCATACTCCGCACAGATGTTTGGGTAGACTATGCCCGCCACCTGGTTATGGCGTTCCATGTAGGCTTTCCCTGCCTGCATCTCACACCCTGCAGTTATGTGTTGGATCGTCTCAGGTGCCACTTTGCACAACCTACACCTTGGGTCTTGTCTGGTGTGGTATATCTGGGCCTCGATGGCTCGCGTGCCCAGGGCCTGCTCCTGAGCAGCCAGGATGAGTGCTTCTGTGCTGTCCTTCAGGCCAGCCCTCTCTAGCCACTGATAGGACTTCTTGAGATCAGCCACTTCCGTTATGGTCCAATGGTACATCCCGTGTGGGGGCTTGTCCTCCCATGACGGTCCCTCTTCCAGCACCTCATCCTCTGTTCCCCACTGTCTGAGACTTTTTCTGAGTACGTCATCCATTGGAGCCTTCTCCTTGATGTATTCATGGAGCTTGGATGTTTCATCCTGGACAGTGGCTCTCACACTCACTTGTCCCCGGCCTCCTTCCTTACGGCTTGTGTACAGTCTCAGGGTGCTGGATTTGGGATGGAACCCTCCATGCATGGTTAGGAGCTTTCGGGTCTTAACATCCGTGGTCTGAATCTCTTCCTTTGCCCACCGTATGATTCCTGCAGGGTATCTGATCACTGAAAGAATTGGAATCAAAAGAGGGAACTATAATTGGAACTGGAATTCAAATGATACCCAACCATAACTCTTATGTCAACAACATTAACAAGTAGTAGGAAGCAAGCTTCAAATCAGCCGCCAAGGGTGACAAGTTAATCTGGATTTTTCAAAGGTTATTTTTCAGGTGCCCTTTACTGAGTTATAATTTATAGGTCACATTAATGGTGGAAAACCTTCTGAAAGGATTTTTCTCATTCTAATTTTTTTGCATGACAAGAACTTTGACAATAATTTGAACAGAAGTATGAAGACTGACTGATGTATCTATATACTGTATGTGAATATGAATCAAAAGTTAAATATGAATGTCATATTCATCTACAACAGGATGATGGATTGATTCCTCAAGGAGACCCAGCAGACCATTTTAAGCCTGTTGTCCCCTGGCCACATGTGGAAGGTATTGAAGTTGACCTCAACTCAATCATACTGAAGCCGGGTGAGATAATCTCAATTTTGTTGATACTCTCCATGTGTGGCGTCTTGTCTGTGTCTGTGTGTCCTATATGTATGTATGTACAGTGATACCTCGGTTTTTGACCATATTCTGTTGCAGAAGGCTGTTCAAAAAGCGATTTGTTCGAAATCTGAAACTATTTTATTCGCCCATGATTAGGGGCTAATACACTATGCAGAAACAACAGTCAGTTTTGCGTCAATCACAACAAACACGTCTGCTCACAATGAACGCTACACGAGGAAGCGTCACTTCCTCGTGTAGCATTCCTTCGTGAAGTAATTGCGAAATATATAACATAAGCTGCGCCTCCCTTCCAGCAAGCTGCCATGTTCCGCTATCATCTTTCCGCTACGGATACCAGAAGGAGACAAACTTAGCAAATGTAGTTCCTCAACATGACGCCTACAACATTGCCATACACTTAGTCCGTCACTTGAGAGAATTCTAGAGTCCGTTTGGTATGACATTTTGCCTGCGCGTTTGCTGAAGAAATTGGTGGTAGGCTTCTGTGAGGTCTCTCTGCGGCACCGTAGTGCGCATGCTTCAAAACCCACGCACTTCGAGTTTAGGTTGCTGCATTCTACTAGTTCACCACTCTATAGCACTCAATTCTATACACTCACTAAATTCCCGCCCAATTATATTATTAAGCAATCGTTAACCAGTTATGTTAATGAGAAAAGATGGAAAACGACAATTATGTAGTTTGTACTGATACAAGTAAGTACTGCAGCCTTCAAACTGCAGTGTCTGTTTGAAAATCCTTTTTTGTGTATCGCATTGTTAATCATTTCCTGAAAATATTTTCAAATCTGTATTGCTCACCCCTAAACAGTTTTGCTACTAAGTTCTGTATTGCTTTTTCTACCTGAATGTTTGAGTTGTGTTTTATAATATGACATATTTTGTTTTCTGGTTTCATCTCCAGGAGGGGGGCAAGATGTGCAAGTCCCCAAGCAGCATCCCAGTCAGAATCAGGCCATCCAGCAACAGTATGCAACGTTCACGCCCCATTTTCACAATTACAATGGCCCCATTCTTAAAAAAGGAGTTCTTGGAAACCTTGAACCCAAAGACACTGAGCCACCAGGGGTCCCAGATGGCCCAGGAGAAGGAGCCAAGCCACTTGTTCTGGGCCCAGAATACAAAGAAGCAATCCATGCATCCATCAAAGAGTTTGGCTTCAACATGGTTGCCAGTGACATGATATCGCTGGACAGGACCATTAAAGATATACGCCATGAAGAGTAAGTACTGCTACTCATTATACTGTTTTATTCTGCACGACTACAACTATTACTGTTACTCAAATTCCAATGAAGGATGTTGTGTAAAACATAGATAAAAACAGCAGTGATTTGCAAATTTATCCATCCATCCATTTTCTGATCTACCTATCCTAACAAGGTTCGTGGGGCATGCTGGAGCCTATCCCAGCTGTCTTCGAGCAGTAGGCGGGGGACACCCTGAACTGGTTGCCAACCAATCGCACGGCACACACACAAAAACAACCATCCATGCTCACGTTCACACCTTGAGACAATTTCGAGTGTTCATGTTTTTGGAATGTGGGAGGAAACTGGAGTACCCGGAGAAAACCCACGCAGGCACAGGGAGAACAAGCAACCTCCAAACAGGAAGGCCGGAGCCGTAATCGAACCCTGCACCTCTGCACTGTGAGGCCGACGTGCTAACTCAGGGGTGTCAAACTCAGGTCCTGGAGGGCCGCTGTCCTGCATGTTTTCCAAGTCTCCCTGTTGCAACTAGTCGACCACCTGGCCGCCCTTGATAAATCAGTCAATACAGTGATCCCTCTATCGCTCTATTGCGGTTCACCTTTCGCGGCTTCGCTGTTTCAGGGATTTTTTTTGTGCATTTTTTTTAATGCTTTTAAACAGTGAATTGCATTCTGCATCCTGATTGGCTAAGGCACTGACCAACGTGAACAGTCTCCGCACCTCGTCTTTGTACTTACATACCCTACAATGTCGACGAAACGTTCTGCACCGGCAAAGGCACCTGAGGACGCGCTCAAGCAATATTATTTTACAGTACAGTATTTCGAAAAACTATTATAGTTATTTGTTGAAAACATTGTTTTTTTTTTGTGCTTGGGCCTGAAAACAGGTTCTGGTCTTTGGTTTCATTGTATACATAGTTCAGTATTGTATAATAACTGTAAAAAATAAAGCTCACTACTTCACGGATTTCACCTATCATTGGTTCTTTTTGGAACGTAACCCCCGCGATAAAGGAGGGATTACTGTACATTTTTCAGGTCGGTCCAAATAGTCCCCGGTCTTTTCCATTTTGGGAAGCGACTCCCAACAATGCATCCATTTTGCGGTTGACTTTGGTCAATGCATGAGTCACCCTCCACGTAGGCCGTCAGCGTATTCCCTTCCAATGAAGCTGCTCCAGGTGGCTGAATTTTGCAATAGATCAGAAGAAGACCTGTTATCAAGGGGCCAAAAATGTAGATGTTGTGATGTGTTGTCACAGACCCTCTTCCTTCTGTGTATTTATAACTTGCCCCTTGATTTCGGTGAATCCACTTCCGGGGACCTTCTCTATGTTTCTTGCTTTTAATTATCATGCTGGGTGGGGTGATTTCCGGAAGGTGTTCTCACACCTGCTGTTGATCAGCAATCACTTCCTGTGCATAAGACCTCTGCTGATATGCAAGCGCGTGCCAGATGATTTGATTTGCGCAATGAGTGCGCGACCCTGCCCAGCCTACCGCTGCCTTTCCTCCACAGACTACTTGATTCTTCACTTATCACAAATCACGTGTACTTTTTAAAACTATTGATTCTGTACTTTCACCCCCTCAGACTTTTCCCCTGATATGTGCGATAGATTCCTGCAGTTTTTCATTGATAAGGTTTCTAACAGGACTCTTGTTGCAATCCACTACACTTGAACCCTTTCTCCATGTCCCAGAAATGAAAGTCCTCCGGATTTTCCCGGAATTGCGGGTTTTTCATTATTTTTATGAAAATCTGTCCAGAGAATTGAGGAAAATTTGCTGAAAATTAATCCGGATATTAGTTGACAACATTGTACAAAGACTCGTTTGAGTTTGTTGTTTTGCTTTCACGAGCGTAGCCGTGTTGAAACACTAACACGAGTAACAGTAAAGAGATTTTCGTCTCTTTATAAACACACTTGCTAAACCCCAGTGGAACGAACAAAAGACACCGTGGACAAGACAGTTGTCGTAAAAAATATATTTGGACAAAAAGGGAAACACACAGATTGGCAGAAAAAAGTGTCCGTCCGATTTCGAGTGTCGTCTCGGCTAGCTTAGATTAGCTGTTGTCGTGTGTGACGTCGGGTGTGTGACGTTATTGCGTCAGCGCTGATTGGTTGAAATCAAAAGACGCGCTTGCGTAAATGTTCGCGCTGACGCACGCACAGCAGAGAGCAGCGGACAAGCAAGAGTGGCGTCGCCACAACAGTAATAATATCCTCGTCTTGTATTCTCATGGCCTCGCCATATCTCTGAGATTTCGAAATTTCGGCGAGAACGGAAGCCACAAAGGATGCATGAGCCCGATCACTTAACTTGATTTGCAGGCCCGAGCCCGAAGCAAACCGTGATTTCATATTTTATTTGGGAGGACTCGGGAGGAGGAGGGGTGATTGCTGATAACAAAGCCTGTCTTTTGGAACGAAATCTAAGTTAAACAAGACTGGATTAACATTTACATCTATTATATTTCTGTTTCTGAAGAGGTTACATTAACGGACAATTTTCCATCATTGACGGATTTTTTTTGCGCTTACGACAATAGATGCACTTCTGTGAACACACACAGACCACAGCACGCTGTCAACACCAGACGGTGACTGACGCCGACCAGCTCCTTCCGTCTGACTTATCATAGAGCCCATGAAAAACAAAATGCATTCGATCAGCCAATTACAATATTCTTAGCGTCATGCCCACAGTAATGTGCTACAGTCTGAGGCCACCGAAGGATTTTGAAGGACATTTTTCACTGCAGTAACAGCAATGACACAGGCTGCAAAATCATTCGAAAAATATGGAGTTCTACAAAACGGCCAAGGACAAAGGCTCAGATACGGGATATGAATTTTGATCAAAATCATCCATGTAAAATTATGCGATTTATATATATATAATTTTTTTTTTTTTCGGAATTTTCAGGAAAGTCCACTTTCATCTCTGATGTCCCTTGTTCAGTGGTGTTATATTCTTTTGGGACTGCTTCCATTTTTAGAGGATGTGGTTTGACAAACCAGGCCATCTGGCTCCCTTTATGACTCTGTTTCTCTTAAGGAGGTTCTCCCAAATTGGGCTTGGCCCTTATCAAACACAACTTATCTTCTGGTGTATTTACCAAACAATTCAAACATGCCCGGGTGCAACCCTTGCTCAAGAAACCTAGCCTTGATCAAGATGTCTTGTCAAATTTCAGACCCATTTCCAAAATGCCTTAATTTCAAAAATTAATTTTCAAAAATTCTGGAAAAGTCGTGTACATGCAGTTAAAATCTTTCTTGAATGAACAACCTCTGTTGCTGATTTGAGAACCACGGCCAAATTTTTATGTTCACCCCTGCTTATAAACATCCATATTGTTACAGAAATTGCATGTTAATGGCCATATGGGAAGGATGGAAATGTATGGAATTCTAAAATACATTGTCAGCCATGCATGCCATTTAGTTCCTGACAGTAGAATGGCCACAAGAGGGTGCCAGTCACTGCTATCGGTGACTGGTATCGGCAGCTTTTGCGAGCCCACGATCTTGTGCCTTATCCTGAAATAAGGTATTGACTCAATACAGATATCTGGTCTTGGTACTCACCCATCCCCATCCATCTATGGGGCCTCTTTATTTGGAAGAGGTCAAGATATTGCTCACTGATTTGCTTGCTAACACACCTTGGTATTTCTTGATAATGTTTGCTTTCACTTACTTACGAACAAACCTACAAACACAAACATCAAATAATATTGGGATTCTTTGCTATTAACACAGGTGCAAGTACTGGCATTATGATGAGAGACTACTGACCTCCAGTGTGGTGATAGTCTTCCATAATGAAGGCTGGTCTACCTTAATGAGAACAATCCACAGTGTCATCAAGAGAACTCCCAGGAAATACTTGGCTGAAATTGTCATGATAGATGACTTTAGCAACAAAGGTGGGTTTCCTTATCTTAGAGTGCTTTGAAAAATGTTGTTTTTATATGATTGCTGTCTACTACAGTGAAACTCCTCTATAACGATATCATGTTTACAGCAAGAAATTTTTCACAACAGGGGGCTTTTCACTGTAGCAAATTTTATCTCAGATGTAAACACACACACACACACACACACACACACACACACACACACACACACACACACAAAACGTATGTGTGTACTCTTTATTTTGATTCCAATACATAGTGCATAAATATGAGCATACACTTATTTGACACTTCATATAGCCAGTGTAGAAAGAAAAAACGGGGAAGAAATTGCGAAATTTACGATCAGCATTCACTTTCACTTATATCAATTTCTTGCGTAAGGTCTTTTACTTTGCTTCCTCCATCTTTCATTTTTATTACTTTTATCCTGTCTTCAAGCGCAAATGCTTTTCTTTTCTTAACTCCTTGGTCTGCAAAGGTCCGTTTCGTAGCCATTTTAGCAATGTAACATTCGTGCTGCGTCTGAAACTAACAATAACAAATACTTCTTGGACTACTGCGCATGTGTAAACCAGTGTGGTGGTTGCTGTTGCCGTTTCCGAACGAAGCAGTAGAGGTCACTGTGGCATGATGAGGTTGAATTAGACTTTTGCGGAAGGCTTGTTTTCATTGTAGTGAATCTCATTGCGAGGCAAGAGCAGAGAAAAAGATTTCGTATAACGGAACAGGGGGACTTTTCATCGTAGGGGGAGCAGAAAAGTGGGAATGGCTTTCATGCATGAACATTTTTTCACACTAGGGGGTATTTTCGCCCATGTAGGTTTCGTTGTAGAGGAGTTTCACTGTACTACAAACTGGAATGACGATTTTAGGAAACACTGTCATGGGAAAACTCTTTATAGCCATAAGAGAGTTAAAGAGAAATTAAGTGCAGCAGAATTACATTTAAACTCGGTTTACGAGTACAAATTAAACTGAGCTTTAAAGAGTGGTTTACATTGAATCTCTTGTTTTAAACTTGATTTAAAGTTTGGTGCTACAGAATGTAAACTTAAAGCATGATTTAATCTTTTTTTTAAAGTTAAACCTTGTTGGTGCAATCTGGCTGAAGAGTCTGACAAAGGTTCGTTCTGAGACTCTGTGTTACGATAGCTTCGTTCTAAAATCGTTTGGGGCGCAGGGGGGGGGGGGGGGTCTACTGGTGTTTATAATAAAGGTAATACTCCACTTAATAATGTGGAGCGCCGCACCTATTAGTCCGAAGCTGCTAATGTATGTACAAATTTGGTTTTATGGCTAAATTGAGCTATTGTGGCTTTTAATCCAGTTCATTTTATCATCCAGAAGTAACTGTAAACTTGATGTTGGAAAAGAAAAATAATGATATTTTGGATAATGAAACATTTGAATTTAAGCAGTAGACAGACATACACTTTAAGGCAACCGAATATAAATCATATGGCGTTGAGACTAATGTTGACCCAGACACATATATATATCATAATTGCAAATGTGACTCTCATCAATATACTGAGAATAAGGTTAATTAATGGCTTTTGACCAGTGGCGGGCCGTGCATTTCAACCTTAGGCCTTCAGTGATGTCACATACATACACAATATAGGCTCGTCAAGCAGCACTTAATTTCAGGAGCATTTAAAACCATCAAGTATGCATTCACAATTAAGAGCAGGAAACTACATTTACAGATCGTCAGAAATAAAAAGATGATTTAAAAATACCAAATAAAATGCCACCCAAATTACGCTGTGTGATCTTAAACAAGTCTGTCCAATAAATTGCGCAATGTCGCAGTTTCATATAAGACACCAACCAAACAATAACAAAACAAACTATTCTTTGAAAATAAACAGATCATTTGCATTTTGAAAATCGGCGATTCAACAGCAAATAACTGAAAATGTTGAGCAGCTGAGATTGAACGAACTTTCGTGCACGAAGGTGACTACAATGCGCCATTATAAATTGCAGGTGAGCAGATTTATTTGATACATTTTTGTATCTTTGTCATTTTATTTCGTTACCATGAATTTAATACTAACGAAATAAAATGACAATAAGAAATGTAAAATAAAATTCATTTACTCACCAATGTCGTGCCTGTTCACTGAGGTGCAGATCTACGCGAGTGTCCCCAAACGTTTTTAAACGCACCGTAGCTTGTAAGTGCCCAGCTGTTTCCTTGCTGCCTTAGTAAAACAATCCAGTGTGGCTCCAAACACCAAATCGGTCAGTTGCAAGCAATAGGCAGT